GTGGGGGGGGGGTGTTTGCGTGTGTGCCAAGGGGCTTGAAGACACTTGGCTAGGGTGTGCAATTTGGGGATGCTGCAGCCCTTGCTAGATCTGCCCATTTAGAGCATGGGGTATGTTTTTAAACTCTCTTGCAAACAGATGCAAGCTCTCCAGCTCTCTGCTTTCTCCGAACTGGAAGTTTTGGGGCTTTGAGACCACGCTGGGGATCTGGGCTTATTAGATGAGACATGGCACAGTGCTGATGGAGCCACATGCCCTTGAGTTTGCCAGTGGCTCACATACAACCAAATGGGCAGAATGAACTCTGCTCGTTTTGTGAAACAACACGTGGCTCCATCTTGAATCAGCGCAGGTTCTTGTTGGGACCACTTTGTATCTCCTCCAGCACGGCAGGCTCCTGAGTTGGTTCATCCTGTTCAGAGTTCCCAAATGAGCAGTGTTCAAGCAGTAACTTCCATCTTTCCATTGACGTTGTTGGGTTTTGATGGTCACTAAACGAGGTTTTGTCTGGTTTCACTGTCTCTCTCTGCCTCCCACTCCTCGTTTCAGGTCTCATGTCGTTAGATTCATCCACTGTTGCAGATTGCTTTTTGTAAGCGGTATGTGTCTGCCCTTTCAGACATTCTCTCCTACCAATATAAGAAGCGTAAAGCCTAGGCCCTAGGAGCTCTGGGGGGTCACAGGACCATGCAGCTGCAGGAGTCCATCCAATCAAGTAACATCTTTTACCCTCATAATGATAATTTCCCACTTTAGCAAAACACCCTGCTGCCAAACTCCAGTGATAATGAGCCTGTCAGTGCATCAGTGCGCTCCCAACAGTATCTAGAAAGTAGGGATTGTTTTTTGCAAGGCAAATGAAGACACTGATCATTAGCAAGAAACAAACCAATGATTCAATACATCGCTGGCCACACATACCAAATCATTGACTTTCTGTCCTGCTGGGCAGCAGCTGTTCCATTTGCTCTGTACAAATGGGTTTTTTTTCTCCAGAAGGGGCTGGAAAGGTAGACATTTCTCCAAGAACTGGAGGCAGCAGGCAATTGCTTCCTGCACTGGGCATGGACGTGTTGAGGGGGTCCTTCTGAAGCTGCTGAGAAGTCTGATGGGCTTTCCACTATTAAACTCTACTTCTGAATGCATGTGAATGCAGTGATTGGGTGGAAAAAAAAATCCTGTGAGAATCTACGTGAAATTGCAGGACAAAAAATGCTGCCCTAAAACTTACAATCACTGAAAGAATTAGAAGTTAATCATAGATATCCTCATAGGACTTCTTGCTGTATACCAGTTATGTGTAATCAGTATCCTTACAGATCATCTAGTCTCAGCAGTGTTGCTATTTTCATAATCCTCGCCTTGCCTAGCTGGCTGGATTGAAATGGGATGTCTACTCCGTAGCATTTCTGAGTAAAATGCATGACCCCGAGTCAATGGGACTGCAATCTGCTGTGCAATGAGATAGTCCTGATATTTCATCTTCTCTTGTTCCAAGGTACCTACGTGATGACAGTGACGGCAAATGATGCAGATGATAGTACTACAGCGAACGGGATGGTGAGATACCGAATCGTGACTCAGACCCCACAGAGCCCATCGCAAAATATGTTTACTATTAACAGCGAGACAGGAGACATTGTCACTGTGGCTGCTGGACTTGACAGAGAGGTGAGTTTAAAAGCCATCGGACCAGGTTTCCCGTTGTTGAGGGCTGCTGACTTGCAAAGTCCAAATCCTGTCTCGAATACAAAGCCTCTAAAAGTTTTGAGTTGTGGCGTGGAGATTGTGATCTTTGCTTCTGCAGCACCTTTGGGGCATCGTGGCTTCCATGTGATATTTTTGTCTTAATCCGTATCAGTCAATGAAACCCTGGGAGAATCTTCAAACTTGTGAAGCTGGTATTTCCCTTGCGTAAATTTGTACAACTCAAAGATGAAGAAGTTACTCCAGAAGGACCAGGGGGTTGAATAAAGTGCCGTTTGTACCCCTTCTGTTGGGGAACAAATAAATGCCATATATCTATAGCCCTTTCTAGACCCGTCTTGCTTAGTTCTTTGCATGTTATTTTCAGAAGCGGTTACACAGCCTATACGCAACACACTTTGCGTGTTTCGTGATGGCATCCTTATGTTGTTTCCAAACTCGGAAAATGTCTTCCAGTGGTTTTGGTTCTGTGTGAGGTTCTGCCTTTAGTACCTCTTCTTTCTGGTATTTTACAATGTACAGCCTTCCCAAATGCAGAAGCGTACTCTGCTAGGGTAAGCTATATGGTATGAGTCCCAGAGCTCTGCCTTCTCTAGGTGTGAATATAGCTCGAGGAGAAGGTATTTATACCTCACGCATTGTGTAGCATCGGTGGTGGGCTGGAGTGACCTGGGAAGAAGGAGACAGGAGTGAAGGTAGAGGGGGAGCTTAAGTTCTGGGGGTTTTCCCATTGGACGGTGTGGGTCGTGGAGTGTCACCTGTCCAATGCAATTAGGAGATCTTGATCAACTTGTAAGTGACTGGAGGGGTCATTTGTTCGTCGAACAGCCAGCCACAGATAGCATGGCTACGCAGCAAAGGTGAAAGTAAGGACTTCCAGAGTCTTAGGCTCAGATGTTTAACTTCAGGCAGTCCCCAGGGATAACAAGTCCAGTGAAACCCATTTTGAGAGAGCCCAACTTGCTGCATTTCTGAGAGGAGGCACCAGAAACTCCTTCTCTTCTTCCTTTCCCTCCTTTCCTCCCCTGCGACCAGCAGCCGGGATGGAGCAAGCGGGAGGCTCCGTGTGCGGGCTGGTGCATGGGCTTTCCTGCTTGGGGCACCAAACTCAGAGGGGTGAAAACTTCCAGCACTTCACAGGTTTGTTTTTTTTCCCTTCCACATCAGCCTCGGCCGCACTTTTCTGGCCCCGCTGCAGAGCGCTCTGCCGAGCGCCGGCAGACAGGCATTGCTCTGCCGGGGTTTGTGCCCGTTTCATTCGCATGCCTGGGCCGCTTTTTTGCTTCAGAGCTGCACGGCAGCTTTGGGAGGAATCCCGAGTGCGGCTGCAGAGCCGCTGTTGAGGGCTGATCAAAGCACCAGCAGCAGTTCAGCAGCACACGGGGTGCCCCAGGGCAGCCAGCGGGACCAGCACGGCGACCCGGGCTGCTGGCTGGGAATGGTGCAGATTTGGGGCTTGCCCAAGGCACAGTTTCAGGGTGCAGCGAGCCGGGGGGAGACGCTGTGTGAAGCAGCTTTCCAAGGAGAAGGTGGGGTGAGCAGAGAGCTTTCCAGATGTTGAAGACAAGAAGCAGAGCTGGGGGAGCAGAAGGAGCACCACAGCCTGCTCCGTCCCACCTGACGTGGCAGACTTTGCAAGTGCAACCTAGGGCAGGCTTGACCTTTCCCTGCTCTTTTTATTTAGAGAAGCAGAAAGTTAGCTGAATCCTAAGCAGGCAGATTATCCTAGGCAATGCTGAAGCCTGCAGCGTGCTTGCAGTTGAGGAGGAGAAACAAGTGCTGCAGAGATTGCTGGCAGCCCTCCGGGAGACGGTGGCAGAGCACTCCGAGGAGGGATCTGAATTCTGGCAGGAAAATGCTGATTTTATGGAAATGACAGAACTATTATTGCCCCCTCGACATCAGTGGGGGACAGCGTTTTAATGTAGGGCTTTCCGGGTAGAGAAAGGTCATTGGTTTATATTAATTTCAGAGACATAGGTTGGGATAGCTTGGTGGGAGAGAGGTTTTAATCTCAGCAAATCAGCTGAAAAAAGAGGCGGGTGATAATTAGGGGGAAAGAGGAAGGCAGGACGGTCATCTTTTTTTCAGGTTTATCTCATTGCATCTGGCGCATTTAAAAACCTTGCAGGGGAACCACATGCCTCACGTTAGTTCCCCTGTTGTACTGAGTCTGGGAAACCAAGGCAGGCTGGCGCCTTGTCTGTAGGAATACGGTGTGGAGCATCCCAAGCTGGGTACCGGGTTGGGGAAGGGATGCTTGGATCCAGGCAGAACAACCCGCTCTGGGCACAGGCCTGGGGCTGCCTTGAAGATACGGGCCATGCTTATTCCCAGCACTCTCGGCTGTGTTCCAGATTTACATCTGGAATTGGCGAAAGTTTCCGTTTTATTAGCATAAAATTGTGTTAGGGCTAAATTGAAAAATGTGTTTAAGCATTCCCCTAACTCTACCACAGATTGGTTTTTTTGTTTTTGTTTGTTTTTCCTGAAATCTTGAGAAAGCTATTAGAGGAGTAAATTTGGGTTTGCTGCTGACATTTTCTTGTTGTTAGGAAAAGGAGCCGAAGAGCAGTATTTGGAATGCAGATTTGTGTAAATTAAAATGTTAACAAATCTGACCTATTCATCTGAAACTACTACAACCAAGATAAATTCCCTGGGTACCAGTTATTTCTCCAAATGCTTATTGACACATTTATCAGTGCCTGTGACACTATTATGTTAAGCTGTGTTGAGACGGAACCAGGTCCATGTTCAGATCCAGCATTTGTCTCTCAGAGGGGAGAAAAGTCACTCCAGAACCGGTGTTTCTAGCTCAGCATTTCTGTTGCGTGCTCATTAAATGAGACTTGGTGCTGCCAGCATCTCCACTTAATTATTGGTTCTTTACTGGTTTCTCACATTACCTTCAATTCGTGAAATGTCCAAGAAACTGGACGAAGCGTTCCGTCTTGGTTTGTGTCATGAGGAGGGCTTTGGTTAACCTGCGAGAAACCTATTTTAAGAGAAATTCATGTGGCTTGCTGCTGTTTCTAAACCCTCATTTCCACAAACCAAGGAGGAAATTAAAAACTCAGCCTCTCAAATTGTGCTGGTCTCTCTAAATGTGTCTGACACTGAAGATAGCAAAATGAAAAGCCAAGGTATTAAAATATTGATGGCTTTAAAGTTATCTTACCTGGTTCCCAGTAATCTGGATGTAAATATGGTTACAATGCTCTGTGTCCATTCACTCATTACGGCTGCGCTTAATTGAATGGATCCCCAAGGAAGATAAAGATAATTGGACTGCACTTCATAAAAAATTATTAAAGGAGGACAGTTTAGCAACAGCCCGATTTAAACTCCTGGATGCCTAAGGGTGAGAAATGCCAAAGGTGGAACAAAGGAACATCAATCCCTTGAATTAATAGGGAAAATGATAGGGGTTTAGAGTGCGCCAGAGGTTGAAAGGTGCATTCAGACAGCCAGGCTTAGATGAAAAGGTGAAAAGCAGATACTTGCTCTAATACAGGAAAACGTCAGGGAAATGTAGGAAATCTGCAGCTGGCTTAATGAAACGAGGAGGGAAAGATCAAATAGCGGTGGGAGCACAAAATGTGGGGATTAATAGGGAAGGCTACGAACACATGAGATGGACAGGTTGTAACAAAGTTCAGGGGGTAGGAGGGCACCGTGCTGGCTTATTTAATTTATGGCAGGCTGCTGCAGAGATGGGTGGTTCTACTGGGAGTCGCTACGCACCTGATAGCTTAATTTAGCAGCACATCTGAATTCCAGATTTTATTGCTTTTTTTGTTTTGTCCACTGGGAAGAAAATAACAAAAGGTAAAAAAGGGTCAGCTGTCCCCAGATGGGGCTCAGAAGCAGGCAGAACATTCATATTTCTGTTTTCCATTCTGAAAAGGAGCATTTCCCCTTATAACCACGCAGAAGGGACCAGCTCTGTTCTGCATGTTTGCTCATTTTGGCCACTGGCGTCCCAGGCGGGGATGGAGCCCAGACTGTCAGCCTGACGGTGAGCTCCTGGTACAGTAATTCCACTCCGTCAGCTCTTCTGATTTCTCTGGTGGCAGAATATCTGTCTCAGTAGCACAAGTAAAACTGCACCAGGGCTATAGTATAGGCAATATCATCCTCTGAAGAGCTTCTGCTAAATATTTTATGAACACGGACTCTGAGCAAGCAAAGGGGAAAAAAAAAAAAAAAAGAAGTGAGAGGAAAGGAGCTGGTTGATCCCGCAGCCTGCTGGCAGGCCAATAAATGTCGAGACATCTCAAATGTCATCCAGGCTTATTTGAGATAATAAGTATTTCGGCTCTGTGGTGCTCGTAGTGTAGCGTTGTTAACTTTTTGAGATCTCCTTTAGAAAGGAGTCCCTTCCCAGAGTATTCATCTCATGTGGAAGAAATTAAGAAAGTTGGGAGCTCCGAGTTGCTTCTTCTGAATTTCTGTATGTTTATATTTCTTTTAAAAGTGATTGGAGCTCTGCTGCTGCAAATGCCTTTAAAAATAGATGAAATCCAATTCTATGATTACTACACTTGGCTTTCCGAAAACGTGATGTTGCTAGTCTTTCTCAAGTGAGTGAAAGATAAAAGGGAGAGCCTGCCAACGACTGAGTTAGTGGCTTATTTTATTTATGAATGGAATGGCAGGATTTTTGTGGGGAAGAGGAAAAGTTCTCCTTATTGGCAGAGACAGTTGATTTCTATTCCAACACTTTGGGTTTGGTGCAACGAGACATTTGTGATAGAGCAGAATTTTGAAATGTTATGTTAACTTTCCGAAAACGTGATGTTGCTAGTCTTTCTCAAGTGAGTGAAAGATAAAAGGGAGAGCCTGCCAACGACTGAGTTAGTGGCTTATTTTATTTATGAATGGAATGGCAGGATTTTTGTGGGGAAGAGGAAAAGTTCTCCTTATTGGCAGAGACAGTTGATTTCTATTCCAACACTTTG